TCAGAAGGCAGTTTGTTCCAGAGCCTCGGCTCAGCCACTGAGAACCTCCCCGGCCTTTGAACCTGGCTGTAGGAATTAACCCTAGCTGTGTTCCTGACGGACACAGATTCAGCATTAAGGGCTTTAACAACGAACAGCAAAATGCAAAATAAAGTTGATCTTAAAAGAAAACTGAAGTAAGGAAAGAGTAAAAAAAGACAGAATAGTTTTTCTCGAGATCAATACGACCTAAAAAGATTTTTCCTTTATTGAAACACGTAGTGGATAAAAGCTAGCCCTGACCACAGTGCCAATCTGCTTTAAAACCCTCCAACTGATGACTCCAATCTTCTTTACAGCTGCTTTAGATTTTGAAGTGAAAAACATAAAATCAGAATAAAAACAAATTTTCCAATTAAAGGATTATCTGTGATTTTTAATTCAAGTGAAGAAATTGTCCTAATGCCAAAGGGAAACATCTGGAGATCATCTGCATAGAAGCAAAGTGCAGGCTGAACCTGGCTGTAACCAGGGGGGGGTTTACCATTAGGCAATACTAGGCAGCTGCCTGGGGGCCCCAAGTTCCTGGGGGCCCCATAAAACTCTGTTTCCATGTATGGTTAATACAACTATTCCTTATTTGTGCACATTAATTATGTTTTTGATAAAAATCCTTTCTTTAAAATGTCATCAGAATGCTGATAATATTAAGTGTGTCTCTTCTGTCCTCTGCTATGTAAGGTGGAGGATCCATGATGGTGTGGGCTTCTTCCTCTTCCCTCTTCTGTCAGTAACTGCTAGAGCTGAACTCTTTGTTAAACCTGGTTAACTTGCTGTCATTCTGCTTTAGGTAACCAGAAGGATCGGCTCAATCCTGACCCGTCTGCTAAAACGGGACCAGGAAAACGTGGTGGAGGGGAGGGAAGCTGAGCTGCATCTTTACGCCGTTTCTCAGACGTCCACCCTTTACCTCCACCTGCAGAGCTCATGGAACAGCTTCATCATTGTGGGTGGAGACAGAAGGCAGTCAGGTTCCTTTGTTAGAGGCTCGTCTTACAGCAGCGTGTTTGTGTCTGTGTGTTCAGAAGTCCACATTACTCCTCGATCCGCTCTACAGGAGGAGAAGCACCACGTCGTCTGACTCCATCAGGTTGGAAAAGGGCCTCTGCTCTCATTTTATTTGTCTTTGAATTAGATTTCACAGTGTTTGTCCTGAATGCTGGATCAGTTACCAGGTTAAAAATATAAAAAATAAACCAGAAATACACGACTGCAAGAGGGAAGAATGCCAGACTGATTCCTAGAGATGGAAAAAGGTCATGTTGGTCGGCTGACATGAAAAACGCTGTGATTTAAACTGAGATCAGTTGGAAATAAGCTGAGGTTACTGTTTGGTTTTGTGCAGCGAGGAGCGGACGGCTCACCTGTTCGCTCAGCTGAGCGCGGAGCTCCTGCAGGACGGGATCAGCCTGGAGAACACGTACCTGCTGCTGCAGGAGCTGAAGACCGCCGCTCACCGCAACGTCGCGCTGCGGAGGCACTTCTGGAGGGTGAGAGGTCACATCAACAGCTAAGATCTCCATCCTTTCGTACCCTGTTTCACTTACGCAGTTCTTTGCTTGTGTTTCCAGTCTGGCGACGTGTTTCTCTTCCTGGTTCAGACTTTGGAAGAATGTCTTCAGGGCTGTCAGAGCCTCAACGGCGTTCACTCCACAGATCAGCTTCTGTAAGAGAAGAAACTCAGCCTCCACCTCCAGGGAGCATAGAGGGTTAGGTGGATTTAAGGTTAATGTGAGGAAAATGTTACTGAACTATCAGATATGAGTCAGAAAATAAGATTAATCTAAGATCAAACCTGTTTAATAAAAAATTTCAATTTAAACAAATATAACTTAGGTCAAAAACGCGCTGCAACACTGCAAAAACGATGTC